CACACTGGGCGCTTGGTTACCCACAGCCTCTGGTCACCTATGGGCAGGGCATCCCCTATGAGAGCATCGACACAGCTGTCTGGTGGGAACCCACAGGGCACACCTTCTTCTTCCGTGGGGACAGGTGAGTGGCCCTGGGGTCCTCCTCCCTGCTCTGCCACCTCCTGGCCCCTGGCAGGGGTGGACATGGCAGGCGGTGGAGACCCCTGTGCCTCCTCACCTGCCCATCGCCTCCCTTTCCCAGATACTGGCGCTTTAACGAAGACACCCACTCGGTGGACCCCGGGTACCCAAAGCCCATCTCCATCTGGGCGGGCATCCCTCCCTCACCCAAGGGTGCCTTCCTCAGTCCGGATGCCTGTAAGTAGAGGAGGAGAGGGATGGGTGGGGGGGATGCCAGAGGGGATGGGGTCACTCCTCTGGTGGCCTGGCCACACAGGAGGGTGCCCAGGAGTTCGAGCTGAAGCTCTTTCTGAAGGGTTTTGCCAATTCCAGAGCAAAACCTGCAGGGGTGCCTGGGTTGTGGGGTGCCCTGTGCCTGCCCGCTTACCCCTCGCCTCCACCTTCTTCTCCCCCTGTAGCCTCCACCTACTTCTACAGAGGCACAAAGTACTGGAAATTTGACAACGAGCGGCTCAAGACAGAGCCGGGTTATCCCAAATCCATCCTACGGGACTTCATGGGTTGTCACACGGAGCTGGTCCCAGACCCCCATCCCCGCTGGCCTGATGGGGACAGACCCCCCTTCAACCCCGAGGGCGACGGGCGAGCTGATGGCGAGGAAGAGGAAGAGGAGGAGGAGGAGGAGGAGGAAGATGAGGAAGATTACGGTGAGGGCGGCCGCCAGCCAGGTGGGGACGTGGACGTGGTGGTGCAGATCGACGAGTACACGCGCACCATGAGCGTCGTCATGGTGCTGGTGCTGCTGGTGCTGCTGCTCTGCATCCTCGGCCTCATCTACGTCATCGTCCAGATGCAGAGGAAGGGCACGCCCCGAATGCTCTTGTACTGCAAGCGCTCCTTGCAGGAGTGGGTCTGACCCTGGCTCCCGCCCCAAACCGCCCCCACCACCATGGTGCTAACAATGGACCTAACCTCCCCCTCCCCATGGCCTTGGCCCCTCTTGCCCCGGTGTTGCTTGATGGCTCCAGCCTCAGAAAAGGAGGGTGGTGGTGTGATCCCCTGTCGTCTTCCCCCCCCCAGAGCAGCTGGGCTGGGACTGGGGGGGATGGTTACAGGGGAGCTAGAGGGCACCCATCTCCTCCCTGCTCCCCAGTGGCTGTCCCCCTTCTTCGGCTGCGACCCTCAGGTTGCCACTGGTCATGTTGCACCCACCTCTGCCACGGGGGTCCCAGCAGGGTCCCTTCCTCCCACGTAAACCTGCCGTGGTTGTGCCTGTGCCACACGGGGCGCCAAGCGGGTTGGGGGCTGCTCACAAGTGCTGCGAGCTGGCAGGTCTCAGCTGCTGGCACCTGCGATGGCAGCGAAGTGTGAGGGAAAGGGAGGGCCAAGCTCCCAGCCATGGTTCCTGTTGAACCAAGGAGATAGAGGGATGTGGTGCCTAAAGATAGCGCAAGGGGTGAGATGCCACCTTTGCAACCCCCACCGCCCCGTGGGCTCAGTTCAGCCCGGCCCCTGCCGCTGCCATGGAGCGAAGCCGTGGGGCCACGCGGTGCTGTAGGCAGGGCAGCAGGCATGGCCACCTTGTACGTGTATTAAACGGGTCTGGTGCGTGGAGAGCCGTGGCGCTGTCCTTTCTGTGCCGGGATGGGGGCAGGAGCCCTGTGGGCTGCTCCGTGTGAGGTTGGGCAGGTTTTGGGGGATTGCCTGCTGCTGGCACCCAAGGAGCTGGGTGCCACACCAGGGGATGTGGGGAAGGGGCTAGCATGGCCGGTGATGTCCCCACAGTAGCCCCTGCCTTGTGGCTACCATTTGGGGGGGGGGCAGGGGGAGGACAGTGAAAGCATCCCCTTGCCACGGTAGTGGACAGAGCTGCCTTTCACCAGCTCCCACGGCAGCAGCAATGGCCTTGCCAGGAACACAGCGGGCCTTGTTCTCCCCTGGCCGGCACCACGCTCCAGCCCTGGGGCAGCCACCTCCCTTCCCCAGGCGGCTGGGAGACGGTGCGGGGACCCTCCTGGGGCTGCTCTACCGGGTGCTTTGGCTCCTTGTCCCCACGTGGCCCCAGCGTGTTTCCTGGGGGGAAGGGGGTGGCCGTATCCTGTCTCGGCAGAGGAAAGCAGGAGGAGTCGCAGAGATCAGGGAAATAATCGTGGGAGTGGGAAAGATGAGACCTGGGACAGGGGGGAGGGGGAAATGCAGCTTTATCCAGGGAAAAGTGTTGCTCAGCCTTTGATGGGAAGGAAAACCAAAGCGTGGCATGCGGCGGTGATGGAGACAGCGGTGTCCCTGCCTCTGCTGGTAATGCTGACTGGGGTGACAAGCCAGGGCCCGGTTTGCTCTGGAGCTGCAGGGCGGCAGGCAGCTGAAGCCTGGCACAGTTAATACACCAGTGGGAGGGGGAGCCTGTGGTGCCAGGCAGGGGCTGTGTGGGTCTGACCCTTGGAGGGCAGGGGGGCTCTCCCCGTGAGACTGGATTCTGGCCAGCACCCCCTTCCCACCCCTCCCTAGGCTTCCTCCAGCAGT